AGCAGGAACCTGTGCCTGGCCCTAACCAGGCAACCAGGGATACAGCAGCCTCACCAGCCATACAGAGTGTCTGGACGCCCTCAGACAGGTGTTCCTGCATGTAACCCTGTGCTTCTCAATCCTGTGTTCGTTTTGCATTTGCTTGGTCTTTAGACCGCTGACTCACTCAGCAGATGCTGCATGGAGAGAAACTGCTGTGTATGGCATCTGGGGTAGGTGGTCCCCAGGGCTCACCAAGGACAACCCGGGAAGCTGAGTCCACTGTGACAGGCGGCCCAGGATCGTGTCCAATCATCTGGCTGCAGAGCTCCTCCTCCCAACACACACAGAGCTGATGTCAGCAGGGCAGGAAAGCAGGTTGCACAGATCCTGCAACACAGGACTACTCTGCGAAGCATCAGTCCCAGGAGAGGTGGCCAGGAATGCTTCACAGGGAGGTGGTACATGAACACCCCCTTCAAGGGGGGTTTGACAGGTCCAAGAGAAAAGGAAGAACAACCCAGGAGGAAAGTATGGCATGAGCACAAGCAGTGAAACCAGAAAGGGGCCAAGATGTATGACAGCAAGCGGCTGACAGGGTAAAGGCCCAAGGAGTCCAGGTCTTTCCCGGCCCATGGGCTCAGCACCAACTGTTCCAGTCACTGAACACATCACCAAGTCATTTGCAGCACTCACAGCAGCAATGAGAACACTAGTTAATGCCAGGTTTCAAAGGAGAAGTCTAGGGAAAGAAGCATCACAAGTCAGTTCCTGACTCCTGAATGTCTGAACCATTCTTGTTTGGTACCAAGAACAGAGAGCTATCATGAGACCTTTCTGCTTTCTGCAGAGGTGCTTTCTGTCACAGGCACAGAAAAGTTGCTTAAGAGGAGGCCCAGGGAGGGAGCACCGGAGGGTGGAGAAGAGCACCAGGATAGAGACTCAACACAGAGCAACTAGTGGACCTTTAGCTGGAAAAGATGGTAAATCAAAGCCTGCAACAAGCTGGCCCAGGAAGCTCCTATTCTCCAGAGCAAGGGTGGCAAAAGCAAGCAGGAGAGTGGTCAGAATGCCAGGGTGTTGGCTAGAAGGGAGGGTCCACGGCTGGGCAGTGTGGGGACAGGTCCGGGGAGGTGTCACGGGAAGGCAGGGGAGCATCTGCCTGATCCCAGGGAACCTGGAGCGCAATGGGCAACTCAGAGTCCCTGCAACTAGAAGCAAGGGGCTAGCTTTTTGTCCCCTGAGTCAGCAACAGCTGGGGCAGTTTTAAGTAACTTCCCGAGCAAGGCTTACCTCCAAGAGGAGGGGACTGGGCACTTGGGCGGCTGGAGGTAAGGGTGATGGGCAGGCCCTCCACAGTGCCCACTGCTCACCTTTCCTACACTCTGCCTGCCCAAGTTCATGAACCCTTGGAGAGTTCCTGGGATGCCTGCACATGGAGGAAGCCTGGGAAAGAGCCGTATGGAGCTCTGGGGCTGGAGGACGTGGCTGGAGATCAAAAACAGCAGCTGAGAACACAAACTTACTCTCTTGCCCAAAACAGTCTGGAGCTCAGAGCAGTGGAGGATGGCTCCTTTCCGAGCTGCTCCAGCTAGCAGTGGGCCGGAGTGGTCAGTGCTAGTATAGGCAGCTGGTTTGTCTGCTGAGCATACTGAGCACCCACTCGGGGCTCCGTGCTCACCTCCCGGGCCCTGCACCCCGCCAGAGGCTCTCCACTGCAGACTTTGTATCCCTGAATGGAATGACACTGTGCCAGCCACATCTCAGTGTGTCAACTAGCTACCCACATCCCTAGGTGTCCACAAGAGGAGTGCCTGTGCAGCACAGAGGTGTAAGGGGCTACCCACAAGCGCCATTTGGGAGCGTTGGCAATGGGATCCCAACACTCTGGTAGGCTGAGGCAGGAGGATCACAAGTTGGAGCCTAGCCTGGACAACTCAGCAAGACCTTGTCTCAAAATTAAAAAATAAAAATGGCCTAGGGATGTAGCTGAATGCAGAGGCTCTTGGTTCAATCCCTAGTACCAGGAAGGAGGGGGTGGGAGAGGGGGAGAAGCCATGCTGCTCCTCGCCCCAGAGCTCCGCCCTGCCATCCAATGCCACAGCAGAGGAGCAAGGCAGCAGACAGCCAGGAACTCTGTCTCCTGCCCCAAGCAATTCCCAAACAGTGGGAGTTAAATATTTATAAAGCAGTCACTGTTTGTTTAATGTTCAATCTGTGCTTGGGAAGGTGGATGCAGGGAAACGCTGAAGTGACAGCTGATTATACAAGGCAGAGGCCCGCACCCCACGTGTACAGCAGGTGACAGCGACCTGACTGGCCACCTCCGCACCCTGCACTGGCGGCCTCCTCCCCCCTTTCCCATTTCCCTCCTCCTCCTCTGAGTGCCCCTGGGGGCACAGGGCTCCTGGCTCAGTCTCCCTTGCCTAGGTCCCACCCCAGCCACAGGGCCTTATTGCTCTGGGCCTGTTGAGGTCATAGGCCACACACCAATGCAGACAGGAGCCTGTGGAGGAGGAAGGACGGCCCAGGGCAGCCAGCACACACAGCCAGAATTACCTTCAGGACCCAGCTGCCCTCCTGGTCTCCAGACTAGAACACTGCACTACTGGAGAGCCCAACCCACGAGCCTCACCACCCTGTCATTACCTGACTCAGTTCCCCCACTGCCTGCAGAATGGCTTCTGAGCAGCAAGTGTGCTGTGCTCTGCAGCAAGGAGCACTGCATCCCCATTAAGAGGATGGGCAGAGGCAGCTCTCATCACTGACAGTCATCCGACTCTGTCCCTGGGCAGTTCCAGCCACTCCTCCCCTCAGGGACCCAACCACAACACGAGCCGAAGCCAGACTGAGACACAAGCAAGACAGGGCGGGCAACAGCCTTCTCAAGTCTGCCCATGCATGGCTGGCTTCTCTGCACCGCTAAGGCTTGATGTTGGGAGCTGCTGGCTGAGCTTCCCAGAGCTCTGGGAGAGCATGAGTCCCTGTGGGGCCTCCCAGGATCCCCCAGCTGGTCCCAGAGGGAAGGCTGGGGCGGGGGGTGGGGGACTGAGTGGTATGAAGCCAGGAGCCCAGCTTGAGCTCTGGGACAGCACCTACACCTGCCACCCTCCCTTCCACGCACAAGGGAGAGGAACCAGCGCTAGGGCAAGGACTGGGTGGCAGAGACAGAAGACACAAGGCAGATGAGGACTCTGTCACCATAAGGAAAAGACAATTGGCAGTGAGACCCCAAAAAATAAAGCCCACACATTGAGAGTGAGTAGGGCCCAGGCCCCTGGGTTTGAAAAGCAAACAGCTGAACCTGCTTCCCGGCTCTACCCTTACTTGTTCGTGACCTCGAGTGACCCATGTCACTTGCCCGGCCCTCCTCAGAGAGCCTTCATCTAGAAAAAAGGAATGAAAGAATGATAATTTTATCTTTGTGTCTACAAAGTGATAATCCAATCACACAGTAAGTATGCAGATATTATGAAACAAGGTCTGACCCAACTGAAGCTGTAACTCCTAAGGATGCTGTGGCCATCAGGCTACGTGCAGAGTGCCCTCGCCAGGCACAGCAGTGTCTCATCTCCCTCAGCACCTGAAGGGATCGCTCTGCAGCAGCCTTCTGGGACTGCACAAATTCTCCTAAGACAGTGCTTCCTTTTTGCCATTTGCTGCTGGAAGCTTCCTCTCTCTTCTCTGCTGTTAGCTGGTCCCCTCTAGTCTGCTGGTCTGCAGGGTCCCTTCCTTCCTCTTTCCCTGGCAAAGTGAGCATACCACACTTTGTTCCCCTCACTAGAACACAGGGTCCCCCAGGATGGGGTCAGCGTGTACTCTGCCCCCTCTCACTGCATCCTCTTGTTGAGCACACTGGAGGCTTCAGAAGGTGGTAGAGTCCAGGCAGCCTGTTATGGTTTGTCTAGATGTTCCCCAAAGCCTTATGCTGTCATAGGGGAGCTTTTCAGAGGTGGCTGGATCTGGAGTGTGTGACTGATCCATGGAGCAATGCTGGGATTAAGGGTGGGTGATTACTAAATCAGTCCACTGATTTGGCACTGCCCTAATCCCAGTAGCCTAGAGTATAAAAGAGGCAGAAAGACTCCCACTGCTAAAGGTCCTTCACTTGCTTTGCTTGCTTTGCTGCCTTCTGCCTGCCATGAACTGTTTCTTCTCTGCCACGCCCCTCTGCTGTGCCACCCTGCCTTGGAGCCAGCCGACTATGGACTGAAACCTCTAAAAACTGTGATTCAAATCAAAACCTTTCCTCCTTTAACTCTGGGTGTCAGGTATTTTGACTCAGCAACAAGAACAGTAACCAAGACACAGCCCCTCCAGCTCTCTGTCCACCCCAGGAAAATCCATAGTCAGTTTAATTTATCTGCCTTGGAGAGAACAAGTATATTACCCAACTTCACCACTGCCATTTCTTTTTAAAAAAACACAATGCTGTAAAAAGTACTGACACCTAAACATTCTCTGAGTTGCACATGTACCACCAGCTGAAAAGTAGGACCTCCCACTTTGAGACTGGTCTTCAACTCCTGGGCTCAAGCAATCCTCTTGCCTCAGCCTCCCAAGGAGCTGGGACTGCAGGCTCACCCCTAGGCTCACGTCTAGCTTTCAACCTCTTTAGAGGGGTCCAGACCTAGATACAAAACAGACTCCTTATCGTTTTACAATTTTTTTCCTATTTTTTATCTCAAGTAATTTTGCGTAAATCAACATTATCCATTCTTTCCAAAGTACTAAACCTAGTGCTCACAGCTCAACTCTTAACTCTAGGACTCAGTTTCATCAGTTTATATAATATTTAATTGCCAACACAACTGCAGCAGTATTAACAGTTAACACTAAGAAGCATTTCCCACATGCCACAAAGCACTATGCTGGACCTTCTCATGTGTTAACTCTTAATGTTTGTGATCACCCCAGAAAACAGGTACCAGTGTGACTTGGATTTTGGAGGTGGGAGTGTAGGTAAGACACTGACTGACTTTGCCCAAAGACACACAGCCAGTAGGAAGCAGAACACAGACCTGAGTCTGGAGTGCTGGGCTCCTAGCCCAGCCCAGCCCCATCAGCCAGGTCGCTTCATAGAGGAGCCATGCAGCATGAGATAAACCAGGGAGGGAGCTGAATGAGTCGGTTAGGAGCTGCTGCTGCTCCTGCAGTGAGCTGGCCGATGTTTCTGGGAGCGAACAACTGGTCACTGTCCACATGGGCGGGCTGGGTGTCGGCAATGGGTCACAAGCACATTTTTTCACATGTTGATTTCTGCTGCCCTGTGCGGTGGGCCCTGCAGGAACACAGATGTAAAGAGCCCATCAATTTCTGGATGGCTGGAACATGAACTGCTGCTGGGGGGCTGGGAAAGAGTGAAGGCTGGACAAGCAGAGCCAAGGGGTTTGGATCCGACCCTGTCTAAAAATGTGTCATGTTCTTCAGTGACTACCAGGAAGTGTAACCTGCCTGCCACTGCCTCCTAGCAAGTGGGATAAGATCCAGGGACCTCCAAACTGCTGATGTAGGCAGCAGCAGCTGGGAGAAGACTTGCAAACTGGCCTGAGGCCCACAGGGAAGGCACAGGGGCTCTCCTACTTCTGTCCATCCCATCTCAGAAGTCCCACACTGCTGGATGATAGACTAGTGGTGAGACCATGGTGGGTGGCCCCAAAAAGAGACCAAGAGCTCTTCCATGGGGCATGGAGATGAGGCAGCCCAACTTCCTTTCTGCTGCCCCACACCAGTGACCAGCAGAGTCTGAAGGTGGCTCAGGGGAGAGGCAGACCCCCAGACTGGAGGAGCGTGAGAGACACAGTTCCAGAAATGGAAGGAGACACAGTTTCAGAAATGCTAGAAACACCACTGAAGCCCCCTCCCGAAGCCCAGGCAAGCAGATGGCAGGGCTCAACCAATAACTTCCTCCCCAGCAGGAGAGCTAAGAAGAGGAAGTGGCTGTCACCTGAATCTCTTCCACACACGTAGAAGTCATCTTGTCTCTCAGATAACCAGCATCAAAGAGTAACACGGGGAAGGCAAGGCTCCTTCGCCTATGACAGGCCAGCACGCACACGCCCATGGCAGCCTAAAGCCACCGGGGGCCATGGCAGGTGCCATCAATAACGCAAGTCACACAAGCCTCCTTAGGCTTCGCATCCCTCTGCCCCAGAGGCAGAGGCCAGGCACTTCCGGGGACCTGGAGCCATCGCAAGAGCAGCTTCCCTCCTGACCACACACTGACCGCACCATCTGCAGCCAGTGTGCTCTGTCAGATCTCAGGACTGGGAAAAGAGCCCAGCCCAGCCAGGAAGGACCTGAATGCTGTTCATCCTTTGGCAGGTGATGTGCTGTCTGTGGGGGTCTCTGGGGCCTCGGGAACAGACAGCTGCTGCTGTGGGCATTCAACTTGTGCACAGCTAGCGGGACTCTGCAACGTCACATCTTACCAGATGCACAGTGGGAAAGTCTGTGCAACTCAGGCTACTTAAGAGACCACAGCTAGCAACCCGCTAGCCTCACAAAGCCGGAAAGCTGTGCTGGACACGAGCCAAGCACCCTCTCTTCCCCCAGCATCTGCCAGCCACTGGCGGAAGGCTGGCGACACCCAGCACAGCACTGAACCAGACGAGGAACCGAGTAAGCCTCCTCCCCAGTCCCCCAGTGCTTACAGCACCACAGGCCAAGGACATGGATGATAGCAGAGACCAGGACTGCCAAGGGCTTCCTGGATCCAGCTGGTACACACGACAAACTGTGAAGGCCATGGCCACTGCGGTAACATTATTCTGTTATTCTCATGGACAAATGAGGACAGAGATCAGACAAGGTAAGAGATGCCCTTGGCTCAGTGAGGAGCCCAAAAAGGCACCCAGCCAGTATCCCTAGCTCCCAAGGGTGCACTCTCCCGGCTCTGCCCTGCAGATGCAGAAGTCACTGCCAGGATGGCCACACCAGCCTCTGCTGTCTCCACTCTTCCATCCCTGCCTCCCAGGGCCACTCCACCACTTCCTCCCCACTCTGCTCCTGGCCCACTCTGATTCCACAGGCTCTGGCTACCCTGAGGCTTGCCAAAGGCAGCCGGGCTTCAACAGCAGAGAAGAAAGGCAGTGCAGCATTGCACTCGAGATCTGGGCGCAGATGTCAGTGCTGTCCTCCGGAAACCCTGAATGGCCCGCTCCGCCCAGCCTTCATCACCACAGGGCAAGCAGGGCTGCTCATTAGAGGCCCTGTTTTGTCCATGAGCTCACGAGCGGAGGATGGGTGGAAGGGCCCAGGCCAGCGTCACCCCCAGAACCACTGTGGACAGAGGCCTCCACTCTGCCCTAGGCTGCCAGACACTGACTCACTGGGCACAGAGGAGGTCTGCAGCCACTGCCATTCTGCACAGGTGGGCTCTGGCAGCAGACGCTGTCCTCAGGGCCGGCTATGGGAGCTCTGAGCCAGCCAGGCACCACTATGCCTCCTACACACCACCTACAGTTCCAGGAAGCAGAGGTCGGGACCACAGGACAAGTGTGCAGGGCACCAAGCGGTTCCTCTCTTTCATCCCTCTTTCTCTCTTCCTGAAGCAGACTCAGCAACGGACTACTCCACATCTCAGATTCCTGCGGCTCACAGAGGCCACCTAAAGCCACTGACACTGCTCCCCTGTCCCAGAGCCCCCAAGACAATGGGCTGTGTCCTCATCAGCAGGACCTGAGCAGGTGGTGACTTCCTCTGGGGCCACCAGAACAGCCTGCATGTTTCGGAATCATAGCACTTAGGACATCAGATTGTGACTCTAAGCTCCAAGACCATGAGAGCCCGTCTTAGTCTCTCTGTGTCTCCAGAGCTGAGCATGAGGCCTATTGGTAAAGAGCCGGTTCATAAAAGGAGGGGTGTGGCTGGGCGCTGTATGGGTGGACAGCAGGACAGAGGGACAGACAGCTGAAAGAGTGGTGAGTGCACTGGGGGGACAGATGACAAAGGGTGATGATGAGTGTTGGGGGGGCTGGCATAAAGGCAGATAGGTGGGCAGCTGGATGTAGATACAGGCAGAAAGGGACAGAGGGAGGAGGACGACACTTAGAGATGTCAAACTTGCCAATTCTGGATTGCCAGAGTCATGGAGCTCTGGGCCCAAAGGAGCACAAGAGAACCTCTGAATCTCCTCTGCATTTCTGGTTCTGTAGATGAGAACACCAGGACTGCAACATGAACACCCTGTCCACCTCACACAGCTGAAGGTGATGGGATCCATGGTGACACCAAGGACCATGGACAGTCAGAGATCTACCCACCATCCGAACTCCAGGGAGATTCAGGCTGCCCAGTGTGCGCACAAGAGCCCTGGCTCCAACCTGCAACTCCATGCCTTCCGCTAAACGCTAAGGAAGGGTGGGATCCAGGAGACAGTTGCATGCAGGGAAGGGCACAGGGTTCCTGCCTTTATCAACCAAGCTCAGGCAGCAGCCCCAAACCGCCCCCCCGCAGGAATACCAGTCATCTCTGCTCTGCCCTGGACTACACACTCCAGAGGGTGGAGCCTGGATGGTCCCTCTCCCAGCTCCTGCAGTACCTTCTGCTATAACAACAACAGCAGCCCAAATCCAGACCTGAAAGAAGTCCTGTCTCCAGCTAGGCTATGGGAATACAGAATATCACTGCTCGACTACTTCCAGACAGCCTGCTGTGTAGTTGGTTCCGGGCGGAGCAGGAATGAAGACCAGTGATCCCCTCTGACACCCAGCCTCCCACACTCACTCTCATCCACTTGTGCACCTAAGCATGGAGCACAGGACCCCAGCCCAGACTCAGGTTGGGGTCTGCTCTCCACTGAGCATGCAGGATGCCAGAGCTGGACCTGCAGCAGGACCTCTAGCTGCCCACCTGTCAGCACCCGTCACACCCACACAATGTGGTACTCTGCAGCAGGCATGCTGCCTGGGTATACAGACGCACACAGTCCTCACACCGCCCAGGAAGCTGTCAGATGAGTGTTCTCACATACTCTACATCCATTGCACCTCGGGGTAACCAAGGCACCAGGGGTTGAAGGGACCCTCGGCAATCACACAGTGCATCAGTGATCCTCATCTTCTTTTGCCCATAAGTCTCTGCCCACCCACCACCCATGAGGGCGACATGAGGGGTCCATGCTGGCCTGAGAGCCAAGGCAGGATAGCTGCTAAGGACTTGAATACACAGGAAGTTCTATGCAAGCACCACATGGAGGGAACTGCGCTGAACACAGGGGTCAGGCACTGCACCCTTGGTGCTAAGGACCATTCTCAACACAAGCCAAGAGCAAAGCAAAGCGTCTCTGCAAACTAGGAAAGTAAGCGAACCAGGCTGCAGTCGGGCCAGCCCAGGTCTGCTCTAAAGCGCCACTGTGAGCGGTAAAGTGCTATTTCCCATCTTCAGGTGGGATTAACAGGCCGGTGCCCCACCAACAGACCCAGGGTCATGGTGTCCATGCTTGGCATGGAAAGAGTGCTCGTCATTTCCTCTTCAGACCCCAGGACCTGTGTATCCACTGCTATCCATCTTACATGACAGCAGATCAACCATGCAAAGCTGCCACATGCAGTGGCGCCTGTAGCACATCCACAGTGCAGTACAGTGAGCACTCCCAGCTCTACAATGTTTCCCTGGCCCCAAAGTAAAACCCTGTACCACCGACCAGCTCTTCCTTAGCCCCTCCCCCTGCCCTGCTAATCCACTTTCTGTTTTCATAGCACTGCCAACTGTGCATCTCATGAAAATGGAACTACACCATGAGCTTCCACACAGCACAGGGTGCTCCCCACACCATCACCGGTCCTGCTGCTTCGTGCCATCTCACAGAGGCTGGGTGATGTTTACCACCCTGCCATCAACAGACATAGACAAGGGTCCTTTCCACCGTCAGGCTGCTGTGAGCCCTGCTGCCACCAGCACTTGTGTACAAACTTCTGCTCTCTCAAATGCACACTGACAAGTAGAATGCCAAGCCACATGCTCAGAGCACCTTCCTGAGAGGCTGCACCTGCACACACCCACCAGACAGGACCAGGGCTTGCTCCTCTGTGTCCTGACCTTCCACTGCTATTGTTGATCACAGCCATCCTGGCGGGGACGACAGGGACCGGATTTGTGGTTTCAGTTTGCTTCTCCCTAATAACCAGTGATGGTGAGCATCTTCTTCCCCCTTGTTCGCTAGGCACCCACATATCTTTCCAGGACAAAGTGCTTTCCTTTACCTCTTTCATAGGAGTGGTTTGGGCTTTTGTGCCCAAGGGAGAGCTGGCAAGCATTCAGCCATGCTGCCTCCAGTCT